TGTTGTCATCTATTATACAATCAAGTCTGACAAAATATACCAAATATCTCAATTATTTTATCTAAATTAAAGCAATTAATTCCCAAGAAATGACAGGATAAATAATAGTACATAAATATATACATAAATTAAGATAATATGTTTCCTTATCACTTCTATAATAATCCCCATATAAATCAAATGAAACCAAAGTTAGAGATAAACATAAGATCTTACAACTATTGAACCTTGGTTTGCTTATAAATGTAAGAAGCTAAGGATTTCTATGGTTAGCTTCTTATTAGTATACAGTTTATACTATTGACGAGTATTACAACTAATTACTTATTCGCATTCTATTAAAGTTACTCTAATCATTCATGCCTACAAAACTTGAGTTAAGTTCCATTACTGATTTTCAAGCTCCCATCCACCCAATAAATAAGAAGAAAAAGTATTGAATCCATAAACTATACCATCTTGTAGTGATCAGGTTTCTCTGTTTTCTTTGTAAAACTGGGGATTAAACCCCATTTCATGCAATGGAGAACATAGCCACCATTGTCAGATGCATCTTCTCTCCGAACTACTGGCATGTTGGAGCCCGGTGATACATTATAGGCCGGCCTATACCTAAGCACGTAGTAAAATTCAACTGTGAAATACAAATCCACAAAAACCTATTTCTTTCAAAACATAAAAGTCCCATCATTCTTGACCAAAAGAAAATAATAATAATAATAATAATATAGCAATATCTCTAATCATTGCATTCATATTCAGGAACCAACTTCCCAGGAGTGGAGTTTTTTACACATTTACACAATCAATGAAACATAATAACTAATGAAGATCAGAAATGTGTGTTTTGAGTCCGCTGTACCGAGATAAAAAATTTTGATTTGGCAAACAGTGTGAATGTGTAAAAAATCCAACTGCGGAGTCACGATTCGTCATCTTTTCCAAGGAATTGTAGACCGACCTGAAGAACCCCCAACACAACAAACTTAAAAGAAGAAAAGCAAAAAAAGGTTCCTTTTTTTCTTCCTTTATCCCCATCTAACGAAACAAGATTCATTTTCCTTTTATATGGTTAACAGTCATGCCATTTTCAGAATCAGTTGCAGTGAACCCAACACAACAGAAAAAGGAACCAATAGAAAAACTGAAAACTCGCAAAAAGCTTGCTGGTTGTGTTCTGGCAAAACATGAAAAAAAAAATAGGGAAACTCGAAAGAGCTAGCTTTGTGTGGTTGTGATTGTTGAGATGTTGAAGTTATAGCTTTTACCGGTCCATATGGAGAGCACGAGTAGGAGTATCACTGCGGTGACAGGCCCTTGGAACATCATCAGACCTAAGAGTACAACGTGTTCTCCCACACATCTCTCTCACAGTTGGGGTTTCAGTTCTTCAAGGCGGGAATAGAATGAAACACTTACTGGCTCATGAAAAACTGCTACAAAGATGGTGTCTGTCCTCACCCGGACCCCGGGAAAAATACCCAATCAATTAATTTTTGAAAGTGTTTAACCTTAAAGATTTTGATTAATGAAAATACACTATTTTTTTTTATGATAATAAAAAATAATAATAAATAACATATAAAGAATTTTCTTTTTGTGACGTCCCAAAATATACTGGATGCATATATAATAAAGACGTCAACGAGTTATAATAATAGAAAGCACTTCAAAACATATAACTGAATATTGAAAACTACACTCATCCTTAAAATGCCACGAAGCCAAAGTTTGAGGTTAGAGTCTTCCAAAATGTCATGGGTTCTACAAATTACAATTTTTCAAAATGCATAAGTTAAAATAATGTTTTCCTAATGAAACTAGGATTTAGCGTCACCTTCCTCCAATGCTTGCTCTAGGGGTACCTCCTCGACATCTGCTGTCATCCAAGTGGATGATCATCACGAGAGGAATCATACATAAACATAGCACCAACACAAACAAGCAAGGGTGAGCTAATTATATAAAAGAAAAACATACAATATGATAATCATGCATGCAAGAGTTAACTTTCTTCAAGCAAGATAAACACGCATCCTAACATGTTGGATACTAGACTTGACTCGTCCGGACTTTAGAATGATAGTCGAGCTATGGCGGGTCTTGCACTCGTGGTGGCTTATGAAACTTGGGTTCCCCCACCCTACCACACTCACGAGGTTAGTCTGTTCCGGGCCTTGAGGCATACTGGAAGCCCCCAAGACTAAGATCTCCTACTACTCCTCACCACATGGTTCAATCCTCTCTACGTGAGAAGAAAGATCATTGGAGTTTAAGGATGACCCCCAAAACTGAGCTCCTACTCTCATTCTAAACACTAAGAATCTCCCCAAGAGATTCTACACAGATGGAACTTGGTTTACAACTTGGATCG